CGAGCTCCTCGACGGTCTCGAGACGCTCTCGGGCCGCGTCGCCGAGGGTCCAGCCAACGTCGCCTCGAGCCTCGACTGCGTGCGCAAGACGCTGGAGATGCTCCGGCACTTTGAAGCCGACCTCACGACGCACGACCTCATCACGCTGCACAAGGTCGACCTCGCGATCGACGCGCTCGCCAGCGACGCCGCAGACCTCTGCCAATAAGCTTTTGGGTCATATTTAAGTTTTGCATTTTCTCAATTGATTGTAATGTTTTATCTTGTCGTTCAGGGGGAAGACATCCATCTTGAACGCTATCGTTGGCTCTCCGACGAACGACGAATTGGTGTACACCAACGTTGAATGGAGACCTTCGAGACCTTTTACACATACCAGCTTAAAGTATCAAACTATCAAGGAGCAAGACGCGTGAACGGGTAAAGCGCGGAAGCGTCTTAGTTACAATTGCCACCGATGGGCTTGGATCGCAGCCAGCACGTCCGTCGGAAGGCGGGCGCTCTCTTGAAGCGCGCGACGGGCTTCAAAGTCGTCGGCCACGAGGACGCAGTCCGCGGCACTCGACAGCGCCACGCGCACCGCGGCTTCTTCGAGCGACGACGACGGCACACCAAACGTCGTGAGCTGGTCGTGGATGTCCTTGGCGTCGTTGGCAGCAATCATCTGCAATTGTGTCAACACTCGATCGACAGGACACTATGGTGTACCTCGATCGACGCGTCAAAGTATCGCAAGAGGTCGCGAATCGCAAACGAGTAGGCAAATGAAAACTCTTTGGTCGCTTCGACTTGGTTGAGCGTCTCGAGGATCGCTTCGATGCGCGGCAGAATTTGCGTCTCGCGGATGTAAACCCACTCGGCAAAGTTGTCAAACTGCTCGTGCTGGTACGCAAGAATGTGCGCCCACGCAATCTCCTATCCAGATCGATCCGATAGTATCCAAAACAACGTATCCAATCCACAAGGGATAGTGCATACGTCAGGCGAAGGCACGCTCGTTGCATTCGCCGGGTAAATGGTCTCGCGGTACTTTTGCTCGACATTGAGCGCGAATGCAAACGTCTCCTTGAGCTTGGCCGCGATCTCGTCGCCAGAGAGCTTGGCCGGCATCGTCGCCAAGTGCAGCGGCTTGGAGTCGCCCCCCGCAAGGACCGTCACGTCCAGCGGCTGCTCGCCGAGAAGTGCAACGCCCTTCGTTTCACGGTGCAGAGCAAACGCCAAATTGCTTTGGACGTTGACCGGCACTTGAAGCGCGACGCAGCCGGGCTGCCACACGTCGTCGGCAAAGAGCACGTGGCGCACAAACGCCTCGGTCGCCTCGGTAGAGCTTGAGGACGGGAAGGCAAAGCCGTAGCCTTGAATGTGCCCCGCCGAGATGCTACTTTCGAGTGCAGCGATCGCGCCCTGCAACAGCGCCTTGTCGTGCGAGTCAAGGAGTTCGCAAGGCAGACGAAGTAGCACCACGTCGACCGTCTCGACGTCCAGCGCGCGTCGAATGCGCTCAATCTGGTACGTCACGGCCTCGGGCGACAGCTTCTCGTCGGGTCCTACAAGCGATTGTGAGGCGAGGGCGAGAGGGCAAGCGGCGTACGCAACGCGGCGCCATCGATCTTGTCGTCGAGAAGCGCGCTGAGTACAATGTTTTCGCGCGGGACGCTGTCCTCCGAGAAGAGCTCGTTGAGCGCAATGGGCTCGGCCGCGTGCGTGACCGAGACCGCATCGGCCTGCGACGGCACCGTGTACCAAAAGTGCGTCTGGACAAAGTTGTGCTGGTGCGTGAGCACGGCCTCCTTGAGTTGGTGGAGCAGCTGCGACTCCTTCGTGAAGAGCACGGGGCTACCGTAGCCCAGCGGCGTGATCGCGAGAGACGCGGTCGGCAGCTGCAGAGATCGCTGCGTCGTGACGTTGGCATTGGCGACAAAGGCCTGCGTGCCCTCGGAGGTGGCGCGGCCCATGTGCAATAGCGCCACGCGCGAGGCCACGCGCAGCTTCGGAAGCTCTCGGAGCACAGAGAGCATGGTCGCGATGAAGGACTTGGAACGACGGGCCTGCAATTGCACTGTTCCAATCACGCCGCTCCAGGTTCCGGTTACTGTCGCAATCTTCCGGATGAGCACCCGGTGCCATCATCGTGGCGCCAACACGAGCCAACGCCCTCGGTGGAAGCCACTTGGGTGGAAGCTAGTGGTGGTACTCGCAGTGCTACTACACGGTGCGGAGGTGCGATTGGCGGGCTACGTAGGAGGCATTGATCGCGCGAGCCGTAGCGGCAGTCGGGTTTCGGATCTGGCTGCTGACAAGCCAGAAGCTGACAACGTAGAGTCGACCAGCGTAGTTGAAAGCACAGAAGATGACACCGTGGTTATGATGTCCGTGTAGCTCTGTACTCGATCGTCGGCTGGCGTGATGGGTAATGTGCGTCATTGACATGGAACAGCGCTCGAGGTGGGCAGGACGATAACTGTGGGAACCCCATTTTTGATTTGTAAACGTTCCGCAATCCTTTGTCGTGCGAGGATCCCGACGGCAAGGATGAGAACGTTGCGTGAGTCAGAGCGACATCACGGAGCTATCCGGTGGGAGTCAGACGAGCGATTGTCCGACCTCGAACCCACCGCCACAAAGTAGCTCCAATGTGCAAGAATACCAAGGCGAGTTACAACGATATGTATTTGCAGCCAAGTACTAGCTCATTGCAGTTGCATGCGTTGGGAACGACGTCGAGAACGCTACCGACGTGTCGTTGCGGTGCACTTCAACGTGTACCCACCCAGCAAGAGGTGGAGCGATGTCGACGCTTCGTTGCATCGAGAAGCGCTGCGCAAAGACGCGAAGCTTTTTGGCCCTTACCGGCGTGAGCTCCCTCGCGCAGTAACCTCGGGTTTTCGGACAAGGTGACCTGTCGCGTGAGATCGTCCACCCCTCTTCGAGCAGCCCAACGTATCACCGACAACGCATGCTCGACGCCAATCGAAGCTACTACGAGTTCACATAGCATGCGCTCGATGTGTATATACCCACCACACCGACAGCAGCACCCAGCGTCCACAGCGTCCACAGCGCGGAGACAGGCGCGCGCTTCTATGCGCATCGCCACTCGGCATAAACGCGATTAGCGCGTCATCCGCTGCTTCGTCGCCACGTGGAAGCATGCTACGTGAGGCTTTGAGGGCGCTTTTGCGTCAAATCACTACGACCTTATCGTGGGTTCTCGAGGCATTGCGAGCGTCGACCGGCACGTCAATGGTGGTGGCACCCAGACTGGATCTTCCTCTGAAATTTAATATAATGGAGCGCGGTGATTGGCCACTGCGCGACGATCGCAGCGATTGCAACATTGCGTGTCGTCGTGCAGCTGATGGGCGACCGCGATACTCGGACCAAGAGAATCGAATTGGATCAGTCATGGGCTTTACGTGGTTTGGCATCGGCGTACGCTCCAAATGGCGATCGGCGGTTGCTCAGCGCTATGAGGTAGAAAGGCCGGCAGCTCGTACAGGCCGCCAAGGAAGGCGACGTCGAACAAGTCGCCATGCTCCTCCGGAAGCGCGCCAACCCCAACGCCAAGAAGGCCGTACGATAGCCCTTTGTGTACCTCGGCCATCTTCTTACTCTTGGCTAGGGTATGACGGCGCTCTTCTACGCCGCCTCGAGCGGCCGCGTCCCGATTGCGATGATGCTCGTCGAGGCCGGCGTCGACGTCAACAAGAGCACCTCGGTACACACCGCCTATACCAGCAAGTGTACTGACTACGCCTAGCTCGGCGAATACCCCATCTACATTGCGGCTGCCAACGGCCACGCCGAAGTTGTCCAGATCCTCGTGACGGCCAAGGCGAACGTCAACAAGGTCAAAAAGGACGGCGACTCGGCGCTGTACATTGCCGCGGCGAATGGCCACACGCGCATCGTCGAGATGCTTGTAGCGGCCAAAGCCGACGTCAACAAGACCAACAAGGTAGAAATCGCCAACTATCAAGTTGATACGTATGCTCGATGGTGGTCAGACGGGCGACCTTCCAATCAAGATGGCGGCGCAGGGCGGCTTTATCGACATTGTCCGCATCCTCATTGGCGCCAAGGCCGACATGAACAAGTGCGACGAGGTACTCGATTTCCGTTGTCCGCGAAGGCACCAAATTGGTGTAGTTTGGCTTTTCCACGATCTACGTGGCCGCGTCGCACGGCGAAGATGAGATCGTCCAGCTCCTCATCGATGCTGGCGCCGACATGGACCCGTCCAAGGTACTCTCTACGCTCTGAGATTCATATCTAATATCTGGTCTTCGTTCTAGTTGTTCAACCCGATCCACATTGCGACCGTGAACGGCCACCGCAACTGCGCCAAGATGATCAAGCAAGCCATGCGTGCGGCGCGTGCGACGCGTGCGCTCAAGCACGTGCCACGCGACGAGCTGCCGCGGCTCGAGTACCTCGGCAGCGGCGTCCAAGCCTATGTCTACAAGAGCGAGTACCACGGACAGGACGTCGCGGTCAAGGTCTTTCTGCGGCGCAACAAGGCGTCGATCCCGATTCTCGACAAGGAATTCGATTTGATCTGTCGGCTCGAGTCGCCCAACATTGTGCAGCCGATCGTCGTCTTTCGCGAAAACATTGGGCCCAACGAGCCGCTCCAGATCGTGACCGAGTACATGGACGGCGGCAGCCTCGCCACGTATCTGCGCATGCGCCGCGAGCACGTCCCAACGGCCTTTGAATTCTCGACCGTCGAGCTCGCGCTCGCGATTACCAAAGGCGTCTTTGATCTGCACACGAACGACATTATGCACCGCAACCTCAAGTCCTCGAACGTGCTCCTCTCGTCGACGGGCCAGCACATCAAGCTCAGCGACGTGGGCATTCCGCCCGTGCTCCAATACGACCGCATGAGCGACGCGCTCGGCGCCGCGTACTGGGTCGCGCCCGAAGTGCTCTCAGGCGAAGAGCACACGTTTGCGTCGGACATTTACTCGCTCGGGATTGTCCTTGCAGAGATTGAGACCTTGCAGCGCCCGTACGCCAACGTGACGAAAAACGTGTGGGAGATCCTCGACGACGTCAAGCGCGGCGAGATTCGACCGGAGCTCATGGCCGACTGCCCGCCGTCGTACCGCAAGGTCGTCGAAGGCTGCTTGAAGCGCGACCCGATCGAGCGCCCCAACGCCCTCCAAGTGCTCGAGTGCTTTGTGTTTGCCGTGCACGCCAACAAGTAGGATTGCTTTCGATCCTACCACAAAATTCGAGTTGTATTGTCGCTACATGGTTGTCTGATGCGGCCACGACGACGGATAGGGTTGCGTGTACTGTGCCACGGCTGGGTGCTGCTGCTGCTGGTGTGGTTGGTGGTGGTGGTGTTGTTGTTGCTGCTGCTGCTGGTACATGTATTGTTGCTGCTGGTACTGTTGCATGTGATGCTGGTATTCCAACTGCCGCTGGTAGTCTTGCAGCCTCAGTGCTTCGGCTTGTTGCTGCAGAAGCGCTTGCTCGTGCGCTTGTTGCTGCATAAGCGCTTGCTCGTGCGCTTGTTGCTGCAGAAGCGCTTGCTCGTGCGCTTGTTGCTGCAGAAGCGCTTGCTCGTGCGCTTGTTGTTGTTGCTGCTGCGCTACGTAGTCGTGCAAGAAGGCGTGAACCGCGTGCATGGCGATCTCGCAGTGCTCGCGCGACCTTGTTCAGATGAGGCTAATATGAAAACATAAGTTCTGATTTGGCACATACCCGTGGATGCACAGCGTCACGTTGGTCTGCCCGCGCGGCGGCGCCTTGCCCAGCGTAATGTACGTACCCGACATGTCCTACAATCCGCTCGGACAACAACTGCAGGACTAGAGGTACCATGAAATGCTTGAGCCCCGCATCGTCGTTGGCGTGGAGAAGCTCGACAATGTCCATAGGGATCTGAATGTAGACAGCCTCCGAGAGATCGACGCGGCGTCGCGTGTTGGACGCATTGGCCGCCGTGGTGTCGTCGTCGTCGACCATCATCATGTCGTCATTGGCACTGCAGACGCTTTATCATCATGGTCGAGTGCGGAAGAAATCGATATTACCTCTCGCCGACTGCATGTGCATGCGGTTCGGTGGGTGATGCTGCATCTGTCGTGGCAGTCGGCGTCAACGTGGTCCGCGCGTTGTCGCCGCCCGACTTGGTGGCGCGTTGCACCTTGTCCATGAGCTGCGAGTTGGGCAAGAATTCGTCCACGACAAAGGTAAAGTCGATGCAGTGGCTCTTGACCCACGCGGACGTGAGCACTTGGCCATGGAAGCGGCGCTAGATCGCAATGAGGCGCGATTCTGCACGTGCCGATCGCTACCTTTTGCATGCAGTGGTCGCGAAACATGTCGTTCGTGACGACAAAGCCGTCGTGCTTGATCGCATAGTCAATCACGTAGTAGTCGTCGTGGGCTTGCGGCGGTGTGAGCACGAGCTTGGCCTCGGCCACGAGCGCCCGCACTTTCTCCAAGCTCGCCTCGTCCTGAAAGTACTTGGTGCCATCGAGCCAGTAGCGCGGTGCGAACGCCACGCAGCGCAGCTGGAGGCGCGCAAAGTAGTCCAAGGCGGCGCGCACGCGGTCGATCTGGAGGTTGCCGGCGGTGATCGTTGCCACGTTGGCTGCGTCCAGCACTACGAGGGCCATTCCGAGTATCGTCGCCTTTGCCGCCGATGTCCAAACTGGCCGCCGGATAGGATCCCGAGCCATCCGGATAAAAATTGCGTGTTGCCAAGATCTCGGCGATGGACTTCGAGCGGCGGCTCGCCGACATGGACTGGCGGCTCGTCGACGCCTTCGACCTGCAGCACATTGACACGGTGCTACTGCAGGAGATGGTGCCATCGGTCACGTACGGCCTCGTGACCGAGGCCATGTGCGCGTCGCCGCGGCTCGCCTGCAAGCTCATTTGCATCCTGCAGCTCTTGCTCGAAATGTTCATTGGCTGCCGAAAGCACGACGCGTACGATGTGCAATTGCTCCAAGACGACCTCTCGAGTGCGCTGCGCGACCGAGATGGGTACCGCTTGCGGCTAAAGGAGGCGCTTACAGACACAAAGGCACTCAAGGTCCAGCTCGCGCGAACAACGACCTTGCTCAAGAGCTGCGGCCACGTCTTGCATGCCCACGGGTGCTCGCCGCACGCCATTGCTGCGCTCGAAGCGCTTTTGGCTACGCCATTGACAGCCAACGCCGATGCTACCGTCAAGGTGGCGCACCTCTGCGCGTTCTGCGGCAAGGCGTTTGGCACACAAGACTACCTCTTAAAGCACCTCGAGCGCCGTCATCCGGGCGGCACGGTCGATGCAGCGTCACCGGTCTGCAGCGAATTGCAAAGAGCGCTGAAAAATATGCTATGTATATAGGAAGAAGAGGAACCGACGGTCATGTACGCCAAGCCAACGACGACACGGAGCAAGCCATCCTTGCCCGACTACCAAGCCATTCTGAGCAAGCTCGAGACGATGCTTTCGCAGCACGAAGTGTCGATACGCGCGGTCGCGGCCGACGAGACGGCCAAGCTACAGGCGATGCAGACCGAGATGCACCTCGAGAGCGGTATCAAAACGGAGCTGCACGTCGCGCGCGCCGCTGTCAATGCGCGGTACCCGTCCTCTCGACCACACGACGCTGCAGCGGGGTGTGTCATCATGACATGTCTAGGCTGGACGACGCCCAGCGTCACTTGGCCCACATTCTGGAGGAGCGTGACGACGCCATGGTACCTGCCGCGGACGCGACGACTCTGCTTAGGGGCGTGTGTGATAGAAACAACTCTTGGAGCTCAAAGACGAGATTGCGCTGCTCAAACAAAAGCAAGCGATGCAACCAGCACCCCCGCGTGTCGACGTTGTCGTGCCCGACGTCAAGGACCGGCTGACGATCGAGCGGCTGCAGGCCATCGTCGAGCACTCCAAGGACGCCCTTGCGATCGCGCGGGACGACTTGAAAACGACACACGACAAGTACGCCGACTTGCTCGTGGCGCACGAGCGCACGAAATTCGAGCTCGCAGCTGTTGAGAAAGACCTGATGCATGCGCGACAACCGCCGACTCCAGTGCCAACAGCGTCCGTCATGTGTCAAACCAACTCTGCAGCAGACACAAAGGACGCGGCGGCGCAAACCGCACCTCCGCCCGAGCCGCAGAGGATCGAAGTACCCATCGTGCCCGAGCAAGTCCACGTTCTACCAGCGATGGCGGCGCCTGCCGTTCAAGCCACACCTGCAGCTGTGGAAGTGGCGCACACCGGTGTACAAACCGACGCCGTACTGATCGACGCTCCATTCGAACCGCAAGCGGTGCCCGAAGCAGCGCGCGTCGAGGTCGTGTCCGAGCCCGTCGTATCCGAGCCGACACCACGTCCAAGCGTCCGGCTTCCGCCCGAGCTCGTTGCCGTGCACATCGAAGACGTTTTGGCGCAGGTTCTGGCGCGTGCCGAGAGGTAGACAGCTCGCCTGTGTCGACAACTGTAGTACTTTTGATGTAGACCGGATGCGAAGCCGGCCACTCTCGCACGCAACCATGAGCTGGCGCGTCGTCCGTTCCTCAAGAGCGTCTGGCCTCATAGCGCGGCAGCAGTCGAGTCGCGCATCAAAGAGCACTTGGCGACGCTGGACCAAACGTGCGAGCGCTACGGCGTGAGTCGGTTAGCGACCAAACTGAGTCATTCGCAGCACGCGCTCGCGACGACGGCGCTCAAGGCCCACTTGCACGCAATGCCGGTGGCCGTGTTGCAGAAAATGGTGGCCATCGATACGACGGCCGAAGCACTCGTGACCTCCGAGTGGATCCCAAATGAAGCGTCGCGGCAGACGGCATTGGCCGCGATCAAGACGCGCATGGACGAGCAAGATGCGACGCAAACCCACTGGGTCATGCGGATTCTTGAGAAGAAGACGTCGCCCGATGCCCCACCCGCGACGACGACGACGCTCACAAAAGTACTTCGACGTCCGCCACCAGTCGACATGGCGACCACCGACAAGTCTGACGCGGTGCACGCACCACCGACAACGCACATGCTCGTTGACGCTATCGACGCATCGAGCTTGCCAACCGAGCGACACCACGAGTCAACCGTGGTAACTCTGGAGAGTGCGCACATACACGACGAAGATGTGCCCGTGTCGGCGGTGTCCCAAGAGCCAAAGTCAGTGACGTCGACGGCATCGGCCATCTCGCTCGACCCAGCACCGACTCTGATCCTATCACGAGTCAGCCCCCACGAAGTGGAAGCATCTGCGTCCGCTATGCCAGAACCAAGGGCGGCCACGCCAGCGCACCCTGGGCTCGATACTGCTGAGACCACGGAAGCGCCACCGGCGGAGGCGCCAAAGGCGGGTCACGTCATCTCTGTGGGGCGTAAAGCGGCGCCGCGCGAAGAGGAAAGAGACGAGACACGCAGCGGTGTTCATACCCCGCCGCCGATCATCGCAGCGCTGGGGATCTCTCGGGACGAAGCGCCTGTCACGGATGCTCCGAGGACAAACGATGACGAGACGACAGATATTGCAAGCCGAGCTGCGCCGCGCTCCAACGAGGATACTGTCATCACAACACCTTTTATCTCTGACACCACGCCAACAGAAGGCGTCTTTGGCAACGACAGCGACGATCTCGAAGCATTGCACGAGGTAGATACCTGTCTGCGTTCGACTGGCAGTATTATGTGCGCATTAGCTGAATCAAGATGCCGACGTGGAGGATGAGGACGGTAACGACGACAGCGAAGATCGCAATACTCTTCAGGACGTCGATCGGTCGCCCACCGAGGTATCGAGTCGATCGTGGAGCAAATACGACAGTCATCATGCCACATGTCATAGGACACGCCAGCCCAGAGACCGAAGGAAGTAAAAGCGTCGAGCAGTCCTCCTTCCCTGCAGCAGGATGGCGGTGGCACGTATCGATACGCTGTAGCGTCCGTCGATGACATGCCCGACGACGACGACATCCAAGAGCTCGACATTAGCGACAGCATGGTATCGACGCAACCTCGCACAAGCGTCTTGTCGGGCGACATCTCGGGCGACGAAGATGAACCAGTGATTCCAACCATCGACGAGGACACACCACTCGTTGAAGAACACCACGATGACGACGACGCGTCTCCGATTGAGGCCGCAAAAGACGCCGACTCGGAAGACGAGGTGACTCCAGCTCCAGATCGAGGCGACGTCTCGATGACAAGTGTGGACGATCCCCAAACTGGATCTGGCCACGACGAGACGCCAACCACACCCATCGTTGAGACGTCCACGTTCCAAGCCAGCAGTGTGCTTTCGTCCATAGAGTCGATCCCAGATGACTCGGTGGTCGAGAGCTCTGTCCTTGACGCGTCCGTGTTGGAATCCTCCGTACTTGACGACTCTGTCGCTGACGCCTCTGTCGAGTCCTTTATTGCTTCAAGCCCCGCTGTTTTGCGCGGGAGAGACATGGACGACGACACGTACGCGCGGCCAAAGACGGCGCCACGCATGAGTCTCCGCGACAGCTTGCTTCAGACCAAACAGTCGGCTCCTCCTCGTTCGACGTCGTTTTCCCGCCCGAGCATCAACCGTTGGGGCCGTGACGATGACGACGACGACACGCTGCCAGATGCAACGCCACTGCAGAGGTGGGTCATAGACTCCGATAGGACGTATTCTCACGGTATCTCGTCTGTAGTCTGCGGCACAATGCCACGATGGGTACGTCCTCCATCGCTTGTCCGAGCGATCTCATACTTGGATGCCATAGACGACGACTTGGAAGAAGAAGAGCTGGCGTAATCAAACGACACAAATACTAGACATCCAGAGAAGCTAGGTCGCCGACGATGTCGCGCGGAGGCAGTACGTGCACCAGTAGTAGCTTGAGCGCGACCCCAAGACCTTCGTTGGTCTTGGCGCTTACTGGGAAGCAGTCGAGTCGCACTTGCTCGTGCCACATTTGGTCGTCGGCCGTCAACGGCTGTTTGACAGGGCAGTCGGCTTTGGACTGAAAGACCACTGCCGGGAGCCCGAGGTGGGGATGAGGGCTAGGGTACATTGCCTGCAGCACGTCGTAGTAGGCCTGCACGTGCTTGCAGCTCGAGGCGTCGGTCGTGCTTGCGACAAAGATGACAGCATCGGCACCTTCAAGGTACGTTGTCGCCTTGGAGAGATGCGGCGTCGACGGTACATCCCACATCTAGTTCGTTCGTCCCGTCAGCCAAAGCGACAGTCTAGAAATACGTACTTCAATCACAATCGTTGGTCCCCCGTCGAGCTCGATCGACTTGAGACCAATGTTGACTAAAGCCACGGAGCAAAACACCGTTAAAAGAGTTGGCAAGTACCTCCAACGTCGACACGCGACTCGCTGGGCTCAAAGTGGTTGCGCAAGAGGCGATAAAAGATGCTGGTTTTGCCAACTTGTGGACCGCCGAGAAGGAGCACCTTGATCTTCTTGAGGGTCACCACGTCCTCCGAGACCTTGGACTTCCGCACTACGTTCCGATTGCTCAGAATGCGCACTTGAGCGCACTTGAGCAAGGCACCTGTCGACGCCACGGGACCCATGCCAACGTTTCGGCGGCAAAATTAAAACCAATTTTTTTTCGTCCGACGGACTCGACCAAGCCAGACCCTCTCTGTACAGTCTCTTGGATTCCAAGCAAGAGCGTGGAGCTTGGGAGCATGCATGCATTGCGGGCTGGTCTACCTCGTAAGTCGTTTCTTTCTCACACTATTTCATGTGTCTGCACTATTTGTAGGTTGTCTAGGATTTACAGTGAAATGCAAAGTCGAAATTCGAAAAGATCGCCGATGCATGCCCGAGCGCGGCTGGCGGCGGCCTACAGCTTCCCGTGGACGGTCTACGGCGTGAGCTGGAGCAACAGCCGAAGCGAGAAGGTCCTCGCAGTCAGCAGCATCACGGAGGAGTACGCCAACCACCTCCAGATCCTCGAGCTCAACGAAGCCAGCCCCGACGGCGCCGACATGGTGGACGTCGAGACATCCAAGACGTCCCGGTATACGCTCAGCGTCAAGGCTGGCATCGAGCACCCGTACCCGCCGACGCGCGTCATGTGGTCGCCGGCGGCGATGCCCGAGACGCGGCTCGCGACAACGGCCGACTACCTGCGCATTTGGCACCCGCAAGAGAACGGCCTGAGCTTGAGCGCGATCTTGAGCAACAACCGGACTGGCGACTCGTGCGCGCCGCTCACATCCTGCGACTGGAGCGAAATGGACCCCAACATCCTCGGCACGTCCTCGATCGACACGACGTGTACCATCTGGGACCTCAACGTACACAACGCCTCTTTTGTTTCGCAACTGGACTCTCGCGTAGAACACCAAGCAGGCCAAGAAGCAGATCATCGCCCACGACGCTGAGGTCTTCGACATGGCGTTCTCGCCTCTCCACGGTGGCAGCAATATCTTTGGGTCCGTCGGCGCCGACGGCTCGCTCCGTGTGTTTGATATTCGGTACTAGCATACTGCCGCTGCAAAAGCTTGATGTTGACGATTTAGGTGCTTGGAGTCGTGCACGATCGCGTACGAGACGCCGGACCTCAGCGCGCTCTTGCGGCTCGCGTGGAACAAGCACGACGCCAACTTTGTCGCCGTGATGCTCGTCGACAGCCCAACCGTCCTCGTACTCGATCTGCGCATGTCGGCCTCGCCGTATGCGCAGCTCACCAACACAAAAGAGGCCCACAACACGAACACCGGTCGACCGCCAAGCGTCAACGCCATGGCGTGGTCCCCGACTTCGGCCCACCACATTTGTACAGCAGGCGAAGACCACGAAGCAATCATGTGGGACACGCGCGTGCACGTGCCCGTCTTGCAATACTCTGGCGGGTCGTACATCAACGCGATCGGCTGGTCCCGAACAGCCCCCGAGTTTCTCGCCATGAGCATCGACAAGACACTCCACGTCGTCACCATCTAGTACAACACTCCACGTCGTCCCGATTCTAGAGCGTTTTCAGGCAAAATCTGGTTGTGAATTGCATTCACAAACCAGTCGAATTCACTGAATCCGGCTCTACCAGATTTTGACCAGGTCGCTCCAGGAATCAAACCAGCAATCGAGCGCCCGCATCTCATCGTCCACATGCGGGAGACATGCTGCTACTTTCACTACAGAGGGCAAAGGCGATGTATCTTGGCGTCCGATGCTTTGCAGAGATGGTGCGATGGTCGATGTCGACGCCGATGGAACGTCAGGAGGCAGGGCAAAGACGTCGTGTGTTGCGTTGGCTCTTACTTCCATTTTTTCTTGTACTCGTCGCTCTCGATGACGCCAAACTTCTTGCCGTCCTTGCGCTTCTCAGGCGCCCAGCCCGCGCCGACGTTGAGTGTCTTGGCCTTCTTCCCGTCGACTTGAAACTCAGTCCAATTGCCCATGCGCTTCTCGCGCCGGTCGTTCTGCGACCAGTCCTTGTCGTGCTGGTACACGGCGCGTTCCTACAAGCATTGCAATCGACTAAAAAATATACCAAAGAAACCATACCTTTTCCTTGGCTTCGTCCTCTTGGTCGGCTTCGCGACGGCGCTGGGCGGCCTCCCGCGCCTCAAAGTTGCGGCGGCGATTCTCAATTTCAGCAAACGCCTTCATGACCGCCTTCTCCTTGACCTCGTCGAGAGGCGGGAGGTCCTTGGCCTTGAACTTCTTGAGCTTCTTTCGTCGCTCGGCCTCGGCTTCGCTGATGGCGTTTTCGATTGTGCGAACACAGAGCTTGCGCCGGTCTTCGTTGAGCATTTGGTCATGGGCCTTTTTGATTTCTACGCCAAATAGTATCACTGCGAAACATTAGTGTGAAGTGTAGCGCACCTTCAAACGCTTCGCGGGCGCGCGGGTCGGGGCACTTGTCCGGATGCACCATGCCCGAGAGCTGCAATACATTCGGATATGAGTCCTTTGTATCAAGTTGATAGATCCACAGACCTTGCGGTAGTGCTGCTTGATGTCTTCGTCAGTCGCGTCCGTCTCGAGCATGAGCACAAAGAACGGGTTGAGGTTGATCCATTCATGATGGGGCTGCAAGAGGCGCTTGATCTGAAAGTCGGCGTCAACTAGACACCTCGATATGAGCAACACGTCGGGAAGGGACGGTACATACAAAAGTCGACAATCTTCTTCTCGCGCGGAGCTTCTTCTGGCTTCTTGACCGTGTTGGCTTGGTCTTCGAGCTCGTCGACTTCGTTCATGAAGGACGCGAGGAGGTCTTCTTCGGCCTTCTTGGCCGCCTCTTCTTCCTCGCGCTTGAGACGAATAGCCTCTCGCTCGGCGTTCTCCTGGCGCAGTCGCTGCGTGTGTTCGTCGGCGACCTTGCGCACGTCCTCGATTGCCTGCGCCAGCGACGCGTTGCCCGGGTCCTTCTCGAGCCCACGAAAGTACGTGCTCTGCGCAATGTCGAAGCGACCAAGCGCATGCTCGGCAGCGCCCTTGCGGATGTAGCCCTTCCACCACTCGGGCTTAGCGGCGATACAGGCCTCGGCGTCGCGCAAGGCCTTGGTCTTCGAGTCGTTGGCCAAGTGGGCGGCGCTGCGGTTGCTCAGGTACACGGCGTTCGTCGGGTCCAGCTGCAGAGCGCACGTGTAGAGGCGGATAGCCTCGACATAGTTCTTTTCCTTGAGCGCGTCGTTGCCCTGGGCCTTGAAGGCTTCTGCCTGCGCCAGCGCGGCCTCAAGCGCTTCGTCGACGTGCTCCTTCGCGTCCATCTTCCGCAAACTCGTGGGCCTCCGTTGATTGGCCGAAAAGGCCGCTGCCTCCGATTGGTCCAAATATCTGCGCCCACCGATTGGACCGTTCGAAAGATCAAACCAACCACCAGCCAAAGCAAGCATGTCCGACGGAGACAAGCGAGTCCCGCCGACGCCGACGCGCCTCAAGTACGTCCATGAGACCAGCACGGATCATCGTACTCATATGCAAGTAGCTCCCTGCGCGCGTCCGACGCCAGCGCATCGGCGGCCAGCTCGGCGGCCGCCCGCCGGGTACATCGACCTCGCTCCATGCACAACATAGCTTGATTGTGCATCTAGTTTGTGCCCCGACCGAGTCAGCGCCGCAAGGCCGATGGCACCGACGCACCCGAGCCCAAGGTCAAGGCTGAGACGCAAGCCAAGGCCCCGCGCCCGAGCCACGCTGGCCGCGGCGATCGAAAACCGGAGCACGGAGGCCGTGGTGGGCGTGGCGGCGCCGACCGCGATGGTGGTCGTGGTCGCGGTGGTCGCGGTGGGCGTGGCCGCGCGCCGCTTCCGATGGGCCGCGTACGGTGCCTCTTTCGTACGACAACGTTGCTAACCACCACTAGGTTGCCTTTGAAGGGTCCATGGCGGCCGGCTCCTCGGGCACGAGCACATCGAGCGTCGGCGCCGCCAAGGTGAAGAAACCCGTCTCGTCCGACGCCATTGGTATCAGTGTCTTGGACGAAACCATGGGCAACACGCATTTGGATGTCGAGGAGCCGATTCAGGTACCACAGTAGCTGTGCGTCGCCAACTCACACGACGGTGCAGTGGCCGCCGGTGATCGAGTCGACGATGCAGCCCATGAGCCTCCCGTTTGGCCGCCCGCCCAAGCACTTTTCTGTCACGGACGACGAAGCCGGCGGCGCCGTCTTTTGCGACGAAGTACAACCAAACCCTCCACGATCGACGACGCATCGACACCATTTGTACATTAGCTCGGCAACTTTATCGTGCAGGACGACGATCTCTTCTTCATCCAGCTGCCGACGACGCTCCCGTATGCGCAGAAAACCGCCACCGCTGCCAAGGACGACGACGACGCGCCCGTCAAGCCCGCCAACAAGGACGCCGAGGGCCTCGAGCTCTATGACAATGCGCTCAACACGATGCCGAGCGGGTTCTTGGGCAAGGTGCAGTGCTCTGCCGCCGACTTCGCCGACTCATTTGTGTTGTTAGATTCAAATCCACAAGTCGGGCAAAGCGGTCCTTGTGCTCGGTGACAAGACGTTTGACATTGCGCCGGCCCAGCCGCCGACGTTCTACGAGGAGGTACACGATGATGACGCGTCCGATGCAATGACGCGACTGGGAAACGTAGCTCGTCTCGATGGACACGAAGGACCGTCTTCTCTCGCACTTGGGGCCGATCGCCAACCATCTCGTTGTGACACCCGACTTTGAGTCGCTCTTGGCATAAATACTACCAACAATTTACGATTGGATTTGATTATTTGCCGGACGGAACCCGGACGTGTCGGTTTCGAATTGAGTGTAACGGGGGTAACATCACTATCGTCCTCGAGATATGGCCTCGCCCGGCCCACCGCCGATGGGCGCGCCCCAAGGACCGCCGCCAGGTACGACGACGCGGCTACGTCCATAGTGTCATGTACCACCAGGTTTGCCACCCGCGCGCGGACCACCAGGTGCGATCTTTGGTTGCTCGCGGCGACACCGAGTGATGGAGTGTTGTAGGCGTTAGTGTCATTGGCGCACCGCCTCCAGGTATCTCGTTGCCATGATGCGCAGTCGCATGAGTCGACGTGTACAGGACGAGGACCACCGCCAGGCGCTCCTCCGCCCGGTGTACCGCGAGGCCCGCCCCCTGGAGGACCTCCAGGAGGACCACCAGGACGAGGCCCGCCACCAGGAGGACCACCAGGACGAGGCCCGCCACCAGGAGGACCACCAGGA